GCCTGCCCTCTGCCACCCAGGAGCAGGCCTAAGCCAGCAGGTCATTATCTCCCGAGGGGTCCCAGACTGCGAGACGGCACAGGCCGGGCTGAGGGACCCCTTCTTCCCCCCTGAGTGCACAAATTTTTGTGCACCGGGCCTCTAGTATATGTATATGTAACTAAATAAATTCCAAACTATTTGTATAGAAATGCATACGATAAATGCAGAGTAGCTTTACAGTTATGAATATGCAAAACACTTTATTCTTGTAGTATTAATTATTGTATTATTTGTTTGTATTACAATTGTAAACCTACTTTGCCCACCCCATATACTTATGTTTACTAGTATATATAAAAAGCTAAGCGGTTGGTAGGTATGATGTGCACTGACCACCAGGGGGCAGATGCTCAATGCAGGAGCTGCTGAGTGACAGCAACTTTGCAGAGTGCCCTCTTGCACTCCGGGAACCCTCGGGCGATGTCGGACTGCCAGTTTTGGCCCTATCCCCGCAGGCCAGGCTGAGGGACCCCACCTGCTGGAGGGACCCTGCTCACTCCACAGATTCCCTTTGAGCCCTGGTGCCATCCAGGTGTGGCCGGTCAGGGAGGGACCGCGGGAGGTTGGCTCCAGGGTGTGTCCAGCCCATCTTGCCCAGTCCCGCCCTGCCAGCCACTTTCTAATTAACTTCCTTTCAATATGCACGAATCCATGCACCGGGCCACTAGTACAAAATAAAAAGTCTGAAAGACATAGTGTTTACAAGTGAGGAGGGAAATAGCCTTGGGAAAATGGTGACTTTTTAATCTTTCTGATTTTTGTCTTTAAACAATAAGGATATAATCATACATCATGTTTATAAATATTTTAAAAGGATCTGGAAAATATAGGATAAGGAATGAAATAAAAAACACCTAGAATCCCACCACCAGAGACTAGCACTGCTAACAGTTCCTGTGGATTTCCTCCCAGACCACATTTCTTTGCAGCCAGGTGGGTGCTGGCACTGATCCTTGAGTAGGAGAAACAGCAGTGGAGCCAGTTTTGGTGAAGGTGGTGCATCTCTCTGGGGGCATGTGGAAATGGTATTGCCTGTGGGACAGTGAGATGGTGATAGCCAGTCAGGAAAGGGACACGTGGGCATGGAGCTCAGGGGAGCTGATGATCAACTCACAGTATTAATGCTTTCTCTTTCAAGTGATGAATTTGAATATTCGTGTGTCTGACACAAATAAAAATGTAATTCCTTGTGGCAGCAGATCTTGCTGCCCTGCTGTTCCCTATCCCTATCCCAGATGTAGCATTTTCTAGTTTTGTCCCTCTTGGGAAAAACGTTTAAATGAAGAAAAGCCTGTTTTTTCATCTACAAAATGAAGATCATGTTACTGTCCTTGCACACTGCTACAAAAATTAAATGAGTCTGAGTAAACCCCTAGCACTGTCCTGAATGCTTACTTGGCTCTCAGAATTTGTTTTAGTTTTCCGACTGTTACCTGAATATCACAGCTAATTTATTTATTTTTGATTAGCAATAAAAGAGAAAAGGATGTATTGGCTTGGGAAATCCTTATGTGAAATTAACACAGAAATTTAGTTTTTTTTTCCAAATTCATTTTAACCTATTTTTGATCTTTCATAACTTGTTTTGTAGATTACCTTACAGCTACTCATTACTCTATAAAGTTTTCCTAGGACTTTGGTCAAAATCACGACTTGGTAATCAAAAGGAAATAAATAAAAAATGTCTCACCTCACAGAACCAATTATAGTTATTCCCAATAACTTTTTCCTTTGGCGTTGGCGACCCTCAACTGAGGAGGATATTAATAACCTGCTCATGTTGGAGCTCCAAGCTCAGCCCCGACAAAGAGTTACAGAACTCACAGAACTCCCCTCAACTGGGATTTGAATTGCTCGTCAGCACTGAGGTCACTGTCACTGTTAAATGACAGATGTTTTCCTGAAAATCCCCTGCATCTCTTCCTGTGATAGAAAGTTCAGCGCTGGCAACAGCAGGGTGGTGTTCTTTAATAACTGTTAACTTTATTCTTTAGAGAGTTTGTGAAGATGTCCTATTGTTCCGGGAGGACTCCCTCGACACCCACGCCTGCATTATCCTTTTGCATAATGCCTACAATTTAGAGCCACCAGGCTCCCTGTTGCATAGCTCCTGTATGCTTGGTTCAGTATAACCAAAACACTCATAAATCTCCCTTTCTTCCAGTAGCTTTCTGCAGCAGCTGGGGTATGACAGCCTTGTCCCTGATCTGTAATTCCAGACAACTCCAGGGTGAACTGGCAGACCAATCCAAAGCTACTACGTCAGATAAAGTGATGCTGTTTGCACAACTCAGTGTCCTCAAGAGATATTCATGTAATACCCCCGATTTGTATTCTGCATGAAACTCCTTTTACAAGACATAAACTTCCCATAGGGAGCAAACGTAGCCAGCTAAAAGATGCTGAACATATGACTGTGTAATGTAATTTTAAACTCAGAAGGAATTGGCTAGGCCTTTTCCATCTTAGAAGCCGAAAGCTATAAAAGAACCCACGATTTCTTTTTTAAGTATAACATTCTTAATTTTGGGATTCTAATCGAGCCATGTTCTAATTCTAATCAAGCAATGCTAGTCATATGACAGATTAATATAAATATTTGAATTGTATATATCATGAGATTTGAGTACTCAGATTTATCACAAAAAACTAATTGATTTATTATTTGTACCTAATTGACTTACATTTGAAGCAGCTAATTAAATGATTTCTGTTGTCACATTAATTGCACTAGAGAAACTTTGACTAAATGATGTATTTGTGTTTTATTTGCATGGTACTTGCTAATTCTC